CTTAGACACATAACTTAGATGCCACATGCAAGTACGAAAACTAGGATTTTCAGGCAATCAAAAGGTCGCGCATGAGCAAATGGCCGGTCGAGTCGGGCCGGCCCGACTCGACCCGGGATTTCTCGTTGGTGTTAACCACTATTCGGATCTAAAAGCTCTATGCACGCCCTTTAATACACACTAGTTAGTCCCCACGGGGTCACCTCCAAGGGTCCTGGGGTGCCTGGTAGAACCAGCCCCTAACCAAGGGTCCGTGTTTTGTAGAGGGACACACCAAGTGTAAGTTCAATCGACGGCACTAGAGCGCTCCCAAAAATCCTTAGCACAGCGTTGACGACGGATTGGCTCGTGTGCAGATTTTACTCTTCACGTCAATACGCTGTAAGAGCAATAATTCATTCACTAAAGAATTCACAACGATTGATCACAAACAAGCACAAGCAAAGATTAATACTAACCCACCAAAAGCGAAAGCTAACAGCCCACCGAAATAATAGCTAGCACCATACTCCGAAATGCCAAATTGTCTCCACGCAAAATCAGTGGCAACATACTCGCCCACGCATAATTGTGTAGCCCATAATTGCCCACGGAATTCCACGAGCGAACATGACAGCTCATGACCATACGTGACAGTTCATGAAAACACATGAGCGATTCGCACAATTACGTGACGAAGTTACGAAGTCGTTGAATTCCACCTCGCTCAATTTGCACCAGCGTCGAAAGTAAATCACGCACCTCGCGAAACACCCTGGCGAAATTTCCACCTCGGAGGATCAGTACAAACAACTCGTGGGTCAAGCGAAATCTCGCTGGCCCCACATGGCACCCCCGAAATCCACCTTGTACCCACGCGCGCTCGTCTTTTCCCTCGCGCCACCTCACTGCCACACTCGCGCGTGTGGCTCCGAATTGAATTGCGGCCTCAGGCCACGCGTGTGCCTCGACTGGCACCCTTCGGCCCTTGCTCCCATGATTGCGCAACAAGGCTCGGGCTCATGGCCTCGAGCCTTGATCAGCGCAAGACTTAGTCAAAGGGGCTGGTCAATGTCTCGAGCCCCACACCCAGCACACCAGAAACACACCGTAAACACTCATGAAAGGTGCACATGAAATTCATGAAGAAAACATAAACAAGCCTGAACAAACATAAACGAAACATAAACAGTCATGAGCGAACATGATCGTACATGAACGCTCATGAACGCTCATGAACGAGCACGAACAGCACGCGAACTCTCATGAACAGAACGCGAAGGTCCATGAACACTCATGTACCCTCGGAACTTCATACACATTCGTGAAACGCCACGAACACACGAAACACACACGAACAATCATGAAAACGCATGAATGCAACCTCACACTAAAATGCACATAACTCAAGAACCGCTACGGTGATTCACAAACCGTAAACGCCAAAATGAAGAGCACAAAAATACGCATTCCACACAGACCAAATTACCTTAAAGCACATACCTTTAATTTTCACCTTGCTCGACGAATAGGCGGCAGGTTGCCGTGCAAATACATTTTGCACCCAACAGTTGGTCGGGTCAGGACTTTCCTCTGTAACATCTGATGCAATCAGAGGTTGCTTCTACTCAGTTATAGCATTGATATGAACTTGACTGAAGCTAATGGCCAGCCAGCATTAGGGCCGTCTTGCTCATTCCTCCCCGTCATCTGCATGGGCTGCTTTTCATGGTCGAGGTGACTTTTAAGTCAACTCCAAACTCACGTAATTAGGGTCGTCTTGCTCATTTCCCCCGTGCACTCCCTCTCCTTTGTCTTGGGCTGCTTTTCATGGTCTATCAGGCATCTACAAGGGAATCGCTTGGTTGGATCCATTCCATCCTCTCTCGGCCGCTTGGTCAACCTGGAGAACCTGTAAGTTTCATAGGCTATCCCAACTACTACCATTGGCTTGTTGACAGCACTGGGCTGGGAGAACCAAATTAACCATTGTACTTCAGGAATATCCTGCTTTGCCATGTTGACACAATCTCAAAGCTCACGACTTGTGTGCTTTGCGGCCATCCATCCGTGTGCCCTTTCCCAGGTCTATTCTCCTCTCAATCACCATGCTTCCTCCATTCAGCAGCCATTTCAATCTCCCTTCCTTTCCCCTTCGACCCTCACTACTCTCCTTTGCCAATGCTTCTTTCCTTTGCTCCCAGTTCAAAGCTGTTTTTTCTCTTCCCTTATGCTCCCAACAAAGCCCCCCACCTGTTTGGATCTTGGCTCATCACATCCTTGGGGCGCTTGCATGTGCTTCCCGGGATTCTTGCCATGCTTGCTATTCTCAGTTCCTCACTTCTTTCAACCCCCAACACACAATGCACAGGGATCTCTCATCCAATTCCCTGAGTGGCCCCATGTTCACCAACTTCGCCTTCCTTGACGGCCTCACCTATCTGTATGAAGCTTACTAAAATCATTGTTCTATGTGCCAGGCCAAGGCCGAACGGCGATCTTTATGTGCCAAGCCTGCACTGCGCTCTCAGGCATCGACTCATTTTAATGATTGCTGTGTGGCTTCCACAGTCTTGTCACCTCAGTTGCTGTTTCAAAGCATGCTGGAATATGCTGTAACATGTTCAATGGTGCTCTGTACCTTATAGTTGCTGCCGTGCCATCCCGCTGTACCAACCTGCCATCCATATTCTCTTGGGATGGACGCACGCATTGGAACTGTCAGGTTTCTGCCATCTCAATGCATGCCTTCATGTGGATTGGTGGATGCATGCCTTTAAGATGATGGGTGGGTGGATGCATGCCTTTAAGTTGATGGGTGGGTGGATGCATGCCTTTAAGTGGATGGGTGGATGCATGTTGCTGTGTTGCTGCGTGCATGAGGTTAACAGAGCTTGCTCCCACTCTTCCCGTCCAACCCGTGTCAGCAGAAACCTCTCTGCTAATAACCTCACCGGGGAGATTCCTGCTGACATTGGAGGCCTCACTTTATTGAAGTACTTGTGAGTAGGCTTGAGCAAGTACCAAACCCGAACTGAACTTGCAAATAGGGTTGACCAAAAAAACGAACAGGTTTTTTTTTTTTTGCATTAAGTGTTCGCCAAATAGTGTTCGAGGTTCGCCTGAACACGTTTGTGTTCGGGCCGCTGCTGCAATTTGCCCCGCGACGAACACGGACGTGTTCGAGGTTTGCCCGAACACGCCTTCACAGGCGAACGGCGAACACCTGTTTTTGCTATAAGTGTTCGCTGAACCGAACAGTGTTCGGTTCGGCAAACGGATGTGTTCGCGTAGGGGCGAACACGAACATGTTCGTGTTCGCCCCTTGCTCATCCCTACTTGTAAATAGGCTTCAAAAAGTATCAAAGTTGGAGAGAACATAAGGCTCGAACAAGTGCCAAACTTCGACCAAACTTGGAACTTGTGAGTAGGCTTGAGCAAGTACTGAGCCCGAAACAAACTTGTAAGCCGTGTGAGAGAGGGGATACGCTGATCTGATGCCACGATAAAAGCACATGTTTGGCTCAAATAGAACACTCTTGCAGGAGTTACAGTGACTTGCAGCTTTTGGCGGGGTGCTGGCAATGTCTCCATGCCCCTCCTAGCCACCATCCCCTTACCGTCCCCACCTTTGCAGTTGTGCCCATGTTTTTTGCATTTTCATCTCCCCTTTTCCTCTTCAGCAACATCTTGGGCACCAACCTCACATGCCCACCTGAGAACTCTACCTGTGGCGTAACACAATCCCCTAGAACATCCTTTTGCCGCACGTGTAGACCCTTCTGCAATACTTGCACCAACCAATCTGCAGGCGAGTAAATAACCTCACCTCCCAAATGATTTTAGAGTGAAATGCAACGAGACACGACGTGATGCATGGCACAGTGCGTTTTGGAGTTGAGAGTGTTGTGCCAGAGAAATATATTGTTAGAGAAAATCTCTTTACAGCAAGCGACGCATGGCACATGGGAATGCATGCAGAGCATGAGAATGCATGGAAACACATGGGAGTGCATGGCATTGCACGGCACAAGGCATGTTCCGAAAAAAGAACCCCTCACGTGCTAGCCCTGTTAGTGATCGTTTTGCAGCAATCTCCACAGCGTGTGTGGATTTATGCTCATGTCATTTGCAGGAATCAGCAACGGCAGCAGCAGCAGCAGCAGCAGCAGCAGCAGCAGCAGCAGCAGCAGCAGCGGCAGTGGCGGCGGCGGCGGCAGCAGCAGCGAGTCTTCTTCACCAGGAGGTGGAGGTGGAGTGTCAGTGGGAGTCATCATCGGCATTGTTTTTGCTGCTGTGGTCATTCTCCTGCTTCTGGTCGCCACTCTGGTTTACTTCAGGCACAAGTTACAGCCACAAGGTACGGAAACAAAGCAACCAAAAGTACACTCCAGAAAGGGTACAACTGCCATCTGTCTGCTTTGTGCAAACATTACGATACGTGAAAAGTAAGGTTTTCACTGCATGTACCTAGACATGAGCATGCTAGTGTGCAAGCCTAGTCATGTTCTACTCAACTGAAGTCGAGCCAAGATCAGCTGCTGAAAAATGTTGGCTTGAAAGCGAGATTGACTCGCCACAAGCAGTTTGACTTTTGTCACAAGCTTACATGCTGCTGTATGCCTTGAATATTGGATGTACCCTAAGGGACGTAAAGCTGGACTACACAATTCAGGGGGCAACAGATGGCTTTAAGAAGTCAATTGTTTTAAGAAGTCAAGTATTGGAACTGCGAATTCTTAGGGTCTCTCAGGACTCTGAGTTGACTTTTGAGTCGACTCAAAAGTCTCTCAGGGCTCTGTATAACCCGGGCGTACATATGGAGTTGTCAATTTTATGACCGGTGAAATCACATACACGCTGGGTCGCAACGACAATTCACGAAGCAAGCTGGGGCAAGTCACGGGTCTGACCCGATTCTACTCAGCACATGATGTTTCGACTGAAGCTGAATCGACTCAACCAGACTCAACTCGACCTGCCGACTTGATAATCCTGCTTAAGCACGTTCCCTTGCACCCATGCTCCTCCTTTCACCTCGGACACTACAAGCAGGCCTGGCCAGCAGCCTGGCAGCCTCACACTGCACCGAGTTCGCTATAGCAGAAGTCCTCAAGGCCACCAATGACTGGTCCCCCGACAACCAGCTGGGCTCGGGTGCCTTTGGCGATGTGTACAAGGGCGTGTCTCCCCGCGATGGCACCACTGTGTGGGCTGTGAAGCGCGCCAGGCTGATCGACGTGGGCTTTCAGAAGGAGGTCAGTGAGCCGTGGTGGAGCAAACAAAGCCTTTTCTCACAAGCCTTTGCAGGCATGAAATTGCAAACCAGTTCCTCAATTTGTCGAGCTTGTTCTGCTATTTGTTCGGAGCTCTCCTTTGCAATCTGTTTTTCTTTGCTACTCGCCCTTTCTCTCTTGGCTACTCTCAGATCCAGCAGATGGCCGACAAGAACCATCCCAACATTGTGAAGCTCCTTGGCTTTGCAATCGGAGGAGACTTGAGGACACAGCCAGAGCAAGTTCTCATCTATGAATACGTGCCCAACGGCGATCTTAACAAATGGATCGGTCTAAGTACGTATGCCTCTCCAATATTATTCCACACATGCTCTGCCACTCATGCTGCGCCACTCATATGCTCTGGCACTCATTTTCTGTGCCACTCATTTGCTGTGTCAATTGTATCGTGGCGTGACCTTGACTCTAAAGCAGCTTGCCAGTCATGCGCTGCGCCACACACATGCTGTGCCACGCATTCTTCAGATGTAGCCTGCCCTTGGCCACTCTTGATCTGCCACTCATTCAATGCCACTCATCATCTCCCACTCATCTGCTGTGCCAATCATCCTCTGGCACTTCTTCCTTGCAGAGGCAGAGCGCCCTCTGACTCTGAAGCAGCGGCTGGACATTCTTATCGGCATGGCAAGGGGCTTTGAGTACCTCCACAGCTTTGGCATCGTGCATCGCGACATCAAGCCTGCCAACGTCCTCATCACCGACAGCATGCAGGCAAGCATTGCTTTTGGTGTAAGAATTGCTTCCTTATGGTGAAGGCAAAGCTTTTTCAGATTTTGGTGAAGCTATGCAACCATACTAGTGTAGTATGCTCTTGATTCGTGCACACTTCTACACCTATATGGTTCGAAAATTTCGAACTCAATATCGCATTTCTTTCAGCAACCATTTTTTCAGCCTCTCTCACAATCGCATTATGTGTTCAGTCTCTGCTCTTCTGTGGATAGTACCACAAGCGACCATTCGTCATGCTCTGTTCCTGATCTCTCATGCTACAAAAACTCTCACCAATTTTACCAGGCAAAGATTGCAGACTTTGGGCTCGTGAGGATGGGGGAGGGCACAAGTGTGGGCACAACGCGCATCATGGGCACACCGGGCTATGTCGATCCGGTCTACTCCATCACGTCCAAGGCCACTGCAGCCAGTGATGTCTACAGGTAACCATTGCAACAGCCTAGAGTGAGGTAGTGGTGCCTACAGGTGATCATTGTAGGAGCCCTTGGTGAGGCAATAATGTGCACATGTAACCAGCGTCTACAGGTGAGCAAGTTTTAGACATCTAAAAGAGCGTTGCCACGTCGCATGTCATGGATACACCGGGCTATGTGGATCCTGTTTATTCCACCACATCAGTCGCACTGCAGCCCTATATCTATAGGTAGGGCAGTGAGGTCTACAGATGTTAACTTTTTAGACGTTCTGAAGTTTATGTGCACGACGCGCATCATCCTGTCCACTCGATCATGTCCATGGCCACCGCTGCCAGTGACGTCTACGGTGAACTAGGAGTTTTCTGAGAAGCATGGCAGGAGATGCTTAAAAGCATTGCAGAAGACCCGTAGAAGAGTTGCAGGAGACGCTTAAAAATCATTGCAGAATACAGGAACCTTGGATACAATGCAGGAGCTGACACCCAATGAGATGAGCCCCAAATACTGTGTGTGTGTAGTACATGAATCTGGTATGCTGCGGTCAGGTGGCAAGTCTCATCTAAAGTGCCTCCGCCTCTTCTTTTTCGTCTGCATCCTATTCCGATCTTCCTGTACCTCTTTTCATCCTGTGCCTCTGATCATTCTGTGCCTCTGATCATTCTGTGCCTCTGATCATTCTGTGCCTTTAAACCTTTTTTTAGCTTTGGAGTACTCATGCTGGTGGTCCTCACAGGACAGGCGCCACTCTTGGAGAGTGATGGAAAGAGTCAGCAGATCACTCCTTGGGTAAGCACCTCATTCTCTAAGACCAGCGCCTAGCCTGTGATACCATTGTCACAATAACAGTAAAGGAACACCCTCCTCCGCTACCCAATACTTGGTCTTTTTGTACCATATCTGGTTTTTGCTAGTGGTACGCACCACCTATCGGCATTGTCGCAAAGGCCTTGATATCATCTTCTCAATGGCACCAAAGACTAATCTCACCTTCTCCCACTGTCTTCCTCCAACTCACTCCCTCAGGCATCTGAATGCCTGTCCTCAGGAAACCTGGGAAGCCTCAAGGACCCCACCTTGGACGCCCCTGCGGATGCTGTGCTGCGTGTGGCTCATCTCGCCCTCTCCTGCACCGTGGAGCGCACTGCAGCCCGACCAAGCATGGCACATGTCGCCAACGAGCTGCAAGCCATCCGGGAGGAGTGGGTGGGGAAAGAGGAGCTGAGCGCAGCTGTTAAGGTGGATGCGGAGGTGCAGGAAATGAAGGAGGTGTTCTCTAGTGGGAACAGCCTCAACACCGAACTTCAGATGATTGAAGACAACTTGGGGTGAAAGTTACGATAAGTTCTAGTTTTGACAAGTGGCACTTTTTACTGGTAGTGCTTGAGAATGTTTACGTTCTGCTGGTATTGCTTTCCGTATGAATAGACTGTACATGCCTAGTGGGCTACCCTACAAAGAAGACGCCAGGGCACATTGGAGGGGGCGTTCTCGTCTGATTTGATAGCGTTTAGCTCCGTATAAGTTGAGAGACCCCCCCGCCACCCCTTGTTTAACCGCATCGCCCGAATAATGGACCGAGGTCTAATGCTATGTTAAAGAAAAAAAAAGACCTCTCCTTATGTTCTTGCCTACTCAATTGAGTCTAACTTACACAGGGTTGTGGGTGAAAAAGTTTTGCAACTTGACAGGGAAAGAATCCCTGCCTGCAAATACACTCAATATAAGTTACTAAGCGCCCTTCATAGTGTCATAACTTTGTATAGCTTATACTGTTGTGTAGGCTATAGTGGGGTATCCCATAGGAGGTACAACCCAATTAGGGTTTCCTATTTGTACTCACTTCACTCATAGTTCATCCCATTCTCGTTCAGTTCTTCTCATGGTAACTAGCAGGTTCCCCTGTGGGAACTGCGCCTAGGGCCCACCACTCAAAAAATTTTCCTGCCCGAAGCGCACTCATCCCGAGTCGCGCCTCGGGCCGCTCTTACCCCGAGCCGCCCTAGCGGCCGGCCTTACCAGCGCGGCCCCGCCGCCCTGCTCTCGCGGCCCTCGCCGCCCTTACTCACGCGACGCCGCTGCCCCTACACGCGGCCCCGTCGCCCCTGCTTTCGCGGCCTCGCCGCTCCTGCTTTCGCGGCCCTCGCCGCCCCTAAGCACGCGGCCTCGCCGCCCCTTCTCTCACGGCCCCGCCGCCACTCACTCTCGCGGCCCCGCCGCCCCTGCTCCAGCGGCCCAGCCGACCCTGATCTCGCGGCCCTCGCCGCCCCTGATCTCGCGGCCCCGCCGCCCCAGCACTCGCGGCCCCGCCGACCCTGATCTCGCGGCCCTCGCCGCCCCTGATCTCGCGGCTCCGCCGCCCCAGCACTCGCAGCCCCGCCGCCCCTGATCTTGCGGCCCCGCCACCCCAGCGCCCACGGCCCCACTGCCCCTGATCTCGCGGCCCCGCCGCCCCAGCGCTCACGGCCGCGCCGCCCCTGATCTCGCGGCCCCGCCGCCCCAGCGCTCACGCCCCCGCCACCCCTGCTTATGCGACACCGCCGCCCCTACACGCGGCCCCGTCGCCCCTACTCTCGCGGCCCCGCCGCTCCTGATCTCGCGGCCCCGCCGCCCCTGATCTCGCGGCCACGCCACCTCTGCTCACGCGACACCGCCGCCCCTACTCCCGGCCCCGTTGCCCCTGCTCTCACGGCCCCGCCGCACGGTACCGGAGCAGCCGAGCAGCCCCGCCCGAGCCGCCCTGCACCCGAGCCGCCCGGGAGCCGAGCCGCCCAGCAACAGCCGAGCCGCCCAGCAGCAGCCGAGCCGCCCAGGAGCTGCCGAGCCGCCCTTCTGCCGAGCCGCCCGACTTGCCCTGCCCGGTGAGCACCGTCCCGCTGTCACTGCGTGCCCTTTCCCTACTGCTTGCACTGCTTCGCTGTCGTAGTCATGGCTACCCCTAGTGTCCTAGCTTTTGACGCTGAGGGTCGGGCCATTGACTTTGAGGTCTGGGTCGACGACCTGCAGCTGTTCTTACAGTGCGATAGGGCGGACGGTCTCTCTCTCTTTGACCTCACTTCTGGCGCCTCTCCTGCCCTTGCTGCTGATGCTGACCCCACTGTTCGCTCTCAGTGGGCCACCCGCGATGCTGCTGCACGTCTTGCTGTGCGTCGCCACCTCCCTACCACTGAGCGCGCGCACTTTAGTCAGTACAAGAGTGCTCAGACCTTGTACGACGCTGTAATTGCGCGCTACTCTTCCCCTGCCACTGCTGCACTGAGCCGTCTCATGCTACCGTACCTCTTTCCTGACCTCACTGCCTTTCCCACAGTCGCTGACCTCATTACCCACCTCCGCACTAGTGACACTCGCTACCGCGCCGCCCTTCCTGCTGAGTTCTGCCCCAAGAACCCTCCCCCATGTACATCACTCTCTACTACGTAGTCGCACGCCTCCCTGACTCCCTTCGCGTAGTCAGGGACCACGTTCTCTCAGTCTGTCCCACCACCCTCACTGTCGACCTCCTCGAGAAGGCCCTCCTTGCGGCGGAGAAGAGCATCATCGCTGTAGGAGCCTCTCGTGGTGACCCTCGCACCCCCATCTTTGAGGGGTGCTCCCCTTCCCCCCTGCTGCCCTCTGTTGCCTCTGCTGCTGCCGACCTGCTTGGTCTTGAGTCGGTCGGCGCGGCGTCTACCCCTAGCGGGAGACGCCGCTCTGGCAAGGGCAAGGGGGGCAAGGGCGCGGGTGGAGCTGGAGGGAGCGGTGGAGGTGGCGGTGGAGGCGGCGAAGGGAGTGGGGGTGGCGGTGGGAGTGGTGGCGGGGGCGGTGGTGGTGGTGGCAGCGGCGGAGGAGGCGGCGGTGGTGGCGGTAGCGGTGGGGGTGGAGGTGGCGGTGGAGGCGGAGGAGGAGGCGGTGGTGGCGGAGGGGGTGGAGCTGGTCGGGGTGGTGCCCCGCAGCGGAGCGGCGCTGGTAGTGGTCAGCGCTAGCAGCAGCAGCAGCAGCGTTCGCGGGACATCCCTCCGCCCCAGCAGCTCCGTGAGTGGTACACGCAGCGTCAGAGGGGTGGGGGTACTGGTCCCTGCACCTACGTCCTTCGGTCCGGCGACCGCGCGGGTGAGCAGTGTGGGGGTGCCCACCCCACCCAGCGCTGCTTTGGCCGCCTGACGGACGCTTGGCGTCAGCAGTTCCCCGAGGCTAGTGAGATTCCCCGCTGGGGAGAGCTGTCTAGGGCTGGTGTAGCTATCTTTGATCTTGACTTTGATGCTATTCTTGCTGCTATGTATGCTTTTTTTTTTTTTTTTTTTTGGGCTTTACGGAGATGCTGCTATGTATGCTGTGACTATTAGTGAGGAGGGTGACTGTTACCGGTGTTTCCCGCCCGACCCGGGCATTGGTACTGCTGCGCTAGGTGCTTGTGAGACTGCTGCTCTAGGTGCCAGTGCGTCTGCGCTCTCAGGTACTGGTGAGGCTGCGCTCTCAGGTACTGCGTCGGCTTCGGCAACCCTCACTTTCACACTTGACTCCGGAGCTTCTCGCTCCTTCTTTCGAGACCGGACCACACTCACGCCGCTTGGTCGGCCGGTTGCAGTCTCCCTGGCTGACCCCTCTCGGGGTCCTGTCCTCTCTCACTTCTCCACTGTCCTCCCGTGTCCGGTTGCCCCCTCGGGCACCCTGTCTGGTCTGTACCTTCCCTCGTTCTCGACGAACTTGGTGAGTGGTGCGGACCTGCAGGATGCGGGGGTTCACCAGTTCACTCCTGCGTGTCAGCGGGTGACCCACTGCACGGACGCACGCACAGGCCGGCACCTGGCCACGTTCTCTCGTCGGCCGGGGTCGAGCCTCTACACCCTGACCACTGAGTCTCCTCCTGTCCCTGCGTCTGGTCAGGTAGCTGCGTCAGGTCAGGTGTTTGCTGCTGCGTCCCGGTCTGGCCCTGAGTCTGCCCCCTGTTCGTGTCGCCTCCTGTCTCACGAGACTCTCCTGTGGCACCACCGTCTTGGCCACCCCTCCTTGCCCCGTCTTCGGGGCATGGCTTTCCGTGTCCTTGTCTCTGGTCTTCCCCAGTCTCTCCCTCCCCTTCCTTCGGGACCAGGACCTTCCTGTGTCCCCTGTGTCGAGGGGCGCCTCAGGGCTGCTCCTCACTCCTCCCAGTTTCCCCCGACAGAGGCTCCTCTGCAGACACTTCACATGGACGTGTGGGGCCCTGCTCCCGTCCGTGGACAGGGTCACGAGCGCTACTTCCTGTTGGTGGTTGACGACTACTCGCGTTACACCACAGTCTTCCCCTTGCGCAGCAAGGGTGCTGTCACTGAGGCGCTGATCGACTGGATCCGCGAGGCTTGTCTCCAGCTCAGGAGGAGCTTCGGCTCGGACTTTCGTGTTCTGCGTCTGCACTCTGACCGAGGTGGGGAGTTCTCCTCTGGCCTTCTGCGAGACTACTGTCGTGCACGGGGGATCCGCCAGACCTTTACGCTTCCGGACTCTCCACAGCAAAATGGGATTGCTGAGCGCCGCATTGGCATGGTCATGGATGTCGCTCGTACGTCCATGATGCATGCGGCTGCCCCCCATTTTCTGTGGCCGTTTGCGGTTCGGTACGCGGCGCATCAGCTCAACCTTCACCCCAGGGTCTCTCGGCCCGCGATGTCCCCAGTCTTGCTGTGGACGGGGAAGGTCGGCGATGCGTCTGCGTTCCGTGTCTGGGGATCTCAGGCGTTTGTCCGCGACTTGTCTGCGGACAAACTGTCCCCTCGTGCTGCTCCCTGTGTCTTCCTTGGCTTCCCCCCTGACGCTCCAGGGTGGCAGTTCTACCACCCCTCCTCTCGTCGTGTTCTGTCCTCCCAGGACGTCACGTTCGACGAGTCCGTCCCCTTCTACCGCCTCTTCCCCTACCGCACTCCTTCCCTCCCCCCGCGACCGGACTTCCTTGTGCCAGGTCCCCCCCCGGTAGACCCCCTCCCCCCTCAGGTTCCTGCCCCTTCAGGTGTGTCTCAGGTAGACGCAGTCGAGCCAGTCGAGGTTGCTGTTGAGTCTGGTCCTGCTGCGGGTGCTGAGCCTGGGGGTACTGCGACTGCGGGTGCCGAGTCTGGGGGTGCTGCTACTGGGGGTGCTGAGCCTGGGGGTGCTGCGCCAAGGGGTGCTGAGCCGGGGGGTGCTGTGTCTGGAGCTGCTGAGCCTGGGGGTGCTGAGTCTGGGGGTGCTACGTCAGGAGCTGCTGAGCATGGGGGTGCTGAGTCTGGGGCTGCTGAGCCTGGAGGTACGGAGCCTGCGACTGCTGGCCCTCCCCCTTTGGTGTCTGCCGGTGCTGGACCTGGAGGTTCTCCAGGTGCTCCGTCTCGGCAGGAGCCGCTCTCTCCGCAGGAGCTACGCGAGTGGTTTGCTCGCCGCTGGAGGGGTGCTGCTGGAGCTGGAGCTTCTTCGCCTGCTGCGGGTGCTGGTACTGCCGGTCCCGGAGCTGCTGGGCCTGCGGGTCCTACTGGCGCTAGAGCTGCTGAGGGTGTTGGTGCTGAGACTGCTGCTGTCACTCCTGGAGGTGGTACTGCTGCGGGTGCTGCTGGTGCTGCTGGAGGTCCTGCCGCTGGAGGTACTGTTGGCGCTGGTACTGCCGCTGAGGGTGCTGGTGCTGTCCCTGCTGTGTCTGGAGTCCCTGCGCGGCCTCGGCCGTACTTCGTTCCGCTCCTGCAGCAGGTTCTTGGTCTTTCTCCTCCTGTAGAGTGTCCACCGCCTGTCCAGTCACAGTCACAGTTAGAGCCCGCCTCCCCACTGCCTGCTCCCTCTCCTTACACTGGTCCTACCGAAGGTCTTGCTGAGCGTCGTGAGCCTGCGTCTCGTCCCGCGTCGCCTGTTCGTGCTGCTCGCGCTAGTGGTCGCGGTTCACGTCAGCGTCCTCCTCCTGTCCCTGGCACGCATTGGATGTCTCTGCGTTCGTCCACTGCTCCTCTGCGTGCCCCTTTGCCTTCTCCTCCTGAGTCCTCTCTTCCTGCACTTGCCGACCCGGAGTCGGGCTCTCTTCGCGCTGCCAGTCCTACTGTTACGCGTCTCCTTGCTACTGTCGTCACTGACCCCTCTTTCGAGTCCACTGCTGCGTCTGCGCTAGTTGCTGAGCTCGTCGACTTTGCTGCTCGCTGTCGTCTAGACTACGCTGCCAGTCTTGTTGCTGAGTCTGCGTCTGTCTGTCCTCCGTCCGTCAGGGGTGAGTGTGCTCTTGGCAGGGACGTCCTTGAGGACAGGCAGGAGGAGTTCCAGTGTCTGGCTGCTGCTTCACCTCATCTCGCGTCTGTTCTACTTGCCCCTGAGGGAGACCCGGATGCACTAGACATCCCGACTCCGCGCTCTTACGCGGAGGCCGTAGAGGGTCCCTACTCCTCTCAGTGGCAGGCAGCTATGGATGCAGAGATGGCTTCCTAGAAGTCCACAGGCACCTACGTTGACGCGGTTCCCCCTCCTGGGGCGAACATCGTCAGTGGCATGTGGATCTTCAGGGTGAAGCGGCCGCCGGGCTCTCCACCTGTCTTCAAGGCGCGGTACGTCGCACGTGGCTTCAGTCAGCGGCAGGGAGTTAACTACTTTCAGACCTTCTCTCCCACCCCGAAGATGACCACTCTTCGGGTGCTGCTGCACATAGCCGCTCAGCGCGACTACGAGCTTCACTCTCTCGACTTTAGCACTGCGTTCTTGCAGGGTAGCCTGCACGAGGAGATCTGGCTGCGCCGTCCACCTGGCTTCACTGGGACTTTTCCTCCTGGCACCCAGTGGAGCCTCCGACGGCCAGTCTACGGTCTCCGCCAGGCACCGCGTGAGTGGCACGACACACTGAGGACTACACTTGCGGCTCTTGGGTTTGCTCCCTCTACTGCTGACCCGTCGCTGTTTCTGCGCACCGACACTTCTCTGCCGCCGCTCTACATCCTCGTGTACGTCGACGACTTGGTCTTTGCCACAGCGGACACTGCTGGACTCGCCTACGTGAAGTCAGAGCTGCTGAAGAGACACACGTGCACAGACCTGGGTGAACTGCGCAGCTATCTTGGCTTGCAGATCACTCGGGACAGAGCACGCCGCACCATTACCTTGACTCAGTCACACATGGTGCAGCAGGTCCTTCAGCGCTTCGGCTTCACGTACTCCTCGCCTCAGGCCACTCCTCTGTCTACTCGCCACTCGCTCTCAGCTCTGCCTTCGGATGAGTCCGTAGAGTCGAGTGGCCCGTACCCAGAGCTTGTTGGCTGCCTCATGTACCTGATGACCTGCACACGGCCTGACCTTGCATACCCTCTTAGCATTCTTGCACGCTATGTTGCTCCTGGGAGACACCGACCAGAGCACATGGCTGCAGCGAAGAGGGTGTTGCGCTACCTGTGCAGTACGTCGGGCATGGGGCTAGTGCTTGGAGGGCGGAGTCCAGTGGTCCTTACGGGACACGCGGACGCTTCTTGGGCTGACGACCAGGCTACGCAGCGGTCGTCACAGGGTTACACCTTCAGTCTTGGTTCCGGCTCTGTCTCGTGGCGGGCTACTCGCTTGTCTTCTATCCTCAGCTCCAGTTGTGAGGCTGAGATCTACGCCGGGGCCATGGCTGCACAGGAGCTTCGCTGGCTCACCTACCTGCTGACTGACCTTGGAGAGCCGCCTCGTTCTCCTCCAGTGCTGTACGTAGACAACAAGGCCATGCTGGCCTTGTGTCGAGAGCAGCGCCTAGAGCACAGAACGAAGCACATTGCTCTCCGCTACTTCCTTGCTCGTGAGCTACAGCAGCGTGGACGGTTGCGGCTTGCGTACGTGGCCTCTGAGGCCAACAGTGCTGACGTGTTCACCAAGGCATTCGCGCCTTGTGACCATCAGCGCTTCTGCACCCAGCTGGGTCTTGTACCTCTCTTGCCTCACTTGCTCTCCTCTTGACCTTACTTGTACTGTCACATATATATACCTGCTCTTGCTTGTCTAGCTCTATATATATATGTGTACTCCTGCATGTGAACTGGCCTTGTGGCCTTGTTGTTGTGCTCGGACTGTGTGGTGACTTTGTGATCCACCCTGAGCTTTGCTTGCTTTGCTTGACTGGTCTTGTGACCCCTTGTTCTCCCCCACTTTGCCTATGGGGGTGTGTCAGAACTTTGTATAGCTTATACTGTTGTGTAGGCTATAGTGGGGTATCCCATAGGGGGTACAACCCAATTAGGGTTTCCTATTTGTACTCACTTCACTCATAGTTCATCCCATTCTCGTTTAGTTCTTCTCACATAGTACATGCTGACTGGACGTGCAGCAAGTGAGCTGTCAAAATAGGTTCGTAACTCAGGACTAAGTGACCTAGGTTTTTGTCAAGACGGCAAGCAGGAATGAATGCATTATATGAAGTGTGGGTACAAGTACTAACCCTAATTTTGGGTTGTACCCCATATGGGCTACCCCACTATAGCCTATACAGAACTAACACATAGATAGTTTGAAACACCCCCATAGGCAAAGTGGGGGAGAACAAGGGGTCACAAAACCAATCAAAACAAACAATGCAAACTCAGGGTGGATCACAACGTCACCACACACTTCGAGCACAAGCAAGAGGGCAATTCACATGCAGAGGTATATACGCAACAACCATAGTACACTGATCACTACCTAGCAAGAGTAAACATGCAGGTGTATATATATAGATCACAGTACAACCAGAGTCTACAACAAGTGAGGAAACCTAGGCACTATGCCTAGAGCAGTGCAGAAGCGCTGATGATCACCAGCTGGAAGGGCCTTGGTGAACACATCAGTCGTGTTGGCTCGGGTGGGCACGTGAGCGACACAAAGCTGACCACAGTGCTGCAACTCTCGAGCAAGGAAGTAACGCAGAGCGATGTGCTTTGTTCTGTGCTCCAGTCTGTGGTCCTGACATAATGCAATGGCAGCCTTGTTGTCGATGTACAGCACTGGAAGAGAACGAGGCCTCTCTCCTAAGTCGGTCAGCAGGTAGGTGAGCCAGCGTAACTCCTGTGCAGCCATGGTTGTGGCGTAGATCTCAGCCTCACAACTGGAGCTGAGAACAGAAGACGAACGTGTAGAACGCCAAGAAACAGAGTCAGAGTCAAGGCTGAACGTGTAACCCTATGACGACCACTGTGTAGTCAGGTCGTCGACCCTAGAAGCGTCTGAGTGCCCAGTGAGGTCAACTGAGCTCCGCCCTCCAAGCACGAGCCCCATGCCCGATGTACTGCACAAGTAGCGCAGTACCCTCTTCGCAGCATCCATATGCACCTTTCGATGCCTACCAGGAGCCACGTAGCGAGCTAGAAGGCCAAGAGGGTACCCAAGGTCAGGACGAGCGCAGGTCATCAGGTACATGAGGCAGCTTATTAGTTTCGGGTACAGACCACTCGGCTCTACGGACTCGTCCGAAGGTGGAGCTGAGAGCGAGTGACCTGTAGCCAGAGGAGTGGACTGTGGCGAGGACCAAGTGCAGCCGAAGCGCTGAAGGACCTGCTGCACCATGTGTGAGTGAGTCAATGTGATGGTGCGTCGTGCTCTGTCCCGGGTGATCTGCAAGCCAAGGTAGCTGCGCAGCTCACCCAGGTCTCGGCATGTGTGTCTCTTCTACAGCTCTGACTTCACAAGGGCGAGAGCCTCAGTGTCAGCAGTGACCAAGACCAAGTCGTCGACGTACACGAGGATGTAGTACGGCGGCAACGAAGTGTCGGTGCGCAGAAACAGCGATGGGTCAGCAGTGGAAGGTGCAAACTCAAGAGCCGCAAGTGTCGTCCTCAGTGTGTCGTGCCACTCACGAGGCGCCTGACGAAGACCGTAGACTTGCCGTCGGAGGCTCCACTGGGTACCAGGAGGGAACAACCTAGTGAAGCCAGGTGGGCGGCACAACCTGATCTCCTCGTGCAGACTGCCCTGTAAGAACGCTGTGCTGAAGTCCAGAGAGTGAAGCTCGTAGTCACGCTGAGCGGCAACGTGCAGCAGCACCCGAAGAGTGGTCATCTTTGGGGTGGGGGAGAAGGTCTGGAA